GGGGCCCCATGAGATGCCTCTGGTACCTTTTTCATAGGCTTTTTTGAGTTTGGGCAAGGACACAGGGGCCCCATGAGCCCCTATTTACCCGGGGGCCCCATGAGTTGTCAGTCCGCCCCTGCTATAAGCCAAGCAAGCCTAGCCTGCTGGTAAGCGTTTCCCTCAGGAATGACATGTTCACTGGCTAGGAAGTGCAAGAGGCCAAAGAAAGGGAGAACAAAAGAGTGGGCGGTGATCAGGAAAGCTGTAATTGGTGGGCGGTGATGAGGAATGCTGTGACTGATGTGGCAGTAATTAGGGACAATGTAACTGGTGTGGCAGTGATCAGGGACACACATATATATGTATACACACATACACACATATATATATATATATATATATATATATATATATTTCCCTTTTACATGTCACCATATGACTGGCATGGCAGTGATCAGGGAATCTGGTGACAGTAAAAAAAAAAAAAAATTTTTTTTTTTATGTTTTTGTTTTGTTTAACCATCTCCCTTTTTTTTTTTTACTACATACTGTCACAGGGCAGCTAATCAGGATTTTTTTTTTTTTTTACACCGACTGCTTACTACAGTGCTGATCGCGGCATAAGCAAACACTTTTGCACTGTGATTGGCATCCATTCACGTGCCATTGTTTACCACTGTGATAGCTACGATTGACCACAACTATCACATGGTACAGGGCTGATGTGATCACTCACTGACCCTGTACCACGTGATCACGGTGACCAATCACAGAGATCAGAATAGTAAACAATGGCCATGAATGACAGCCATTGTTTACAACAATCACATGGTACCAGGGCCAAGCACAGTGGCTTGTACAATGATCTGTGTTCCACTATGTCGGCCCACAGGGTATGCATGAGGTGTGCAAGCGGGAGAATGTCGTGGCGTCCATCCGAAACATTAGACAACTTGCCCCGCCATACTATTAAAATAGACTGGGCAGGAAATGGTTAAACGCAAGCCAACTTTAAACACCCCTCCATCACTGTAACACCATATGGATTTACCAACAGTACCTGGAGTAGAAAAGATACACAAAAAGGACTGAAGCAATTTTCATTCTTTTTATTCAATTTTCTGTCCTAGTTACTTAAAAAAAATAAAGGAGAAAATCCTCCACAGAACCAACATTGAAAAGCTTCCAGCAGCCCATGGAAAGCACTTGGATACAAAGAGATAGCTTGTGCATACAGCAGTCTGGAATATGAAGCTGCAATGTCACTGCCTGTGAGCCAGGAGGCGCCGCCTCTTCATATGACATGTGAGTTCCGTCACGTTTCATAACAAAGGACATTAATAAAAAATAAAAAAAATTAAAAAACCAAAGAAATCAGGTTACACTGTAACAGGTGTTCAGACACTAGCTTCTAGTGCATCCCTTTACTGTTTAAAAACAGTAGCCCGTTTCTCTTCAGCTGTTGCTTAACTACAAGTCTCAGCAAGCCTTCAAGTGACTTAATAGTTCCTCTACAGCTGGGCGGGCGTAAGGTGTCCATGTCTGGTAGAGACACTCATTACATATGTACATTATTTCATCCCATCACCTCTAACCCCATACAGAGCAGAGCCTCTGTGTAACAATTACTCAGTTTGGTGTCTAGAGGCTGCCTGACCCTCTAACACAATGAACATTTCCTGCTCACTCTTATCACTTTTTAAACTAGGAAAGAAAGGAAGACACACGGATGACATATTTTATTAAAGCCCAACTGAACTTTCAGTTTAAATGACCTAATACATTATAAGTGCAACAAAGCAAAAGGTGTACAAAGTCTTCCACTTTGTCCGATGTAGAAAGCAGCCACAGCCTGAGTAGAAAAGTCTGTCCCTGTGTCAGCATGCTGCAGAGAAGGACCCATTCTCTGTGGGGAAGCAGCGGCATCTCTGAAGAGGAAGCATCCCCTGCCGAGTCGGAGCTCTCTGAGCATGCTGCAGAGAAGGACCCATCTGCAGCAGTGGTCTCTCTGCAGAGGATGCATCCCCTGCCAAGTCAGAGCTCTCAGCATGCTGCAGAGAAGGACCCATTCTCTATGGAGAAGCAGTGGTCTCTCTGCAGAGGATGCATCCCCTGCCCAGTCAGAGCTCTCTGAGCATGCTGCAGAGAGAAGGACCCAAAGTCTGTGGGGAAGCAGTGGTCTCTCTGCAGAGGATGCATCCCCTGCCAAGTCAGAGCTCTCTGAGCATGCTGCAGAGAGGGACCCATTCTCTGTGGGGAAGCAGCGGTCTCTCTGCAGAGGATGCATCCCCTGCCCAGTCAGAGCTCTCTGATCAGCAGGGAGTGTGAGCTTTTCTGATTGCAGAGCTATAGGACTGACTCAGCAGAGGAGGTGTCAGACTTCTGGAGAGAGACCACACAGACAGCAAGGGAATCTTCTCCACAGCATGCTGGTAGAGGACAGGCTTTTCTGCTCCTGCTGTGGCTGCTTTCCCCCCAGAAAACAAACTCAAACTCTTACATTTTAAACTGAAAGCTCAATTGATCTTTAAAGGAATCCTGCATTGAGTAATGGGTTGCATTGCTGACTACTTAAAAGTACTATTTCCCTGGCTGTCTTTGGATTCAACTTTTGTTGCTTTTACCAGATGAAAGGGCTCAGGAGATTGTTAAAGGCAACAATTATTAAAATTGTCCATTTTTCTTTTTTCTTACAGATTTTAATAACATTTTCTTCTTTGGTAAAAATCACTGGTATATTGTTTAACAGTAAAACAAAAAAGAAATGTGTGTGTGTCACTTAAAGCAGACCTTCCACCATTAAAGCAAGATCCACTTTGTACATTTGCCCCCCTCTACCTTGCATGACCACAGCAAAAAAAAAATAAAATATTATACTTACCTTTCCCCAGGTTCCACCTGCAGTATCTAGTAAGGATGACATCTCTTCCTTCTGGCATGAGATTTGGGAATGTAGGGCTCCCCAAATCTGGCAGAGAAGACCCTCTCAACACTGTGTAGATATGGGGTTGCATTCACTGGGGTTGTTGAACCATGGAGTAGCTTTCTCTACAACCTTACCTGAACTTGACGTAGTATTCCCTTGGACCCTTTCAGACCATGCAGTAGCATTCCCTTGGACCTCATCGGACCATGGAGAAGCATTACTTAGGACCTTATAGTAGCATAGCTAGGATCTGCTCAGGTTTGGAGAATTCCTTAGGACCTTGTCAGACTTTGGAGTAACATTCCCTAGAACTTTGTCAGCCCTTGGCTTCCCGGGTCCCCCTCAAATCTTGGAGCATTTCCTGTGACCCCCTCGGACCATGGAATAGCATTCCTCAGGACCTCGTTGGACTTTGTAATAGCATTCTCTTGGTACCTCTCGGGACCAGACAGCAGCATTCCCTGAGACCTCACTAGACCTTGAAGAAGCATTCCCTAGGACCTTATAGTAGCATGCCTAGGATCTCCTCTGACTTTGTAGTAGCACTCCCTAGGACCTTGTCGAATTCTGGAGTAATATTCCCTAGAACTTTGGAGTAGCATTTCTTGGGACCCCCTCGAATCATGGAATAGCATTCCCCGAGGCCTTAGAGCAACATTCCCCGGGACCTCATCGGACCGGGGAGTAGCATTCCCCGGGACCTCATCGGACCGGGGAGTAGCATTCCCCGGGACCTCATCGGACCGGGGGAGTAGCATTCCCCGGGACCTCATCGGACCGGGGAGTAGCAAACCCTGGGAGGACGGTGATGTCACCCTCTGCACCAAAGAGAATAGAGGAAAGATGCGTATAATGTATTTTATTTCCTATTACAGGTACCTTTTATATTGTTTTTTTTACAGTGCTACAGCAAGGTGGGGTGGCAGCAAAAGTAAACAGCAGACTTTGCACAGGTGCAAGGTCCACTTTAAGGATACAAAGATATCCACAGCACCATATATTTACCATTCTGTGCTCATGGCCCCCTGTGTCCTCTTAATTTTCAGGCAGTTAGATTGGTATAACCACATGGCCTTTCACCCAAATGATCAGTCAAGAGCAATCTACCATCATGTGGTTTCTTAAAAGTATAGGTTAAAAACTTGTATTTCATCTTGGATAGCGTTAGGGAGGCTTATAACCTGTCAGATTTTTTTTTTTTCCGCCATCTGTGTCCCATTGTGGAAACTTCTTCACTTCCTGTCCTAAAGCCAAACAGGAAGTGAAAGGAAATCCCTGCAAATTAAGGGAATTCCTTGGGGACCCCCAGCTCACCAGAACTAGTGTTCCCTCTACTACCTTTCTGGGGACAACCCAAAAAGTGGGGTTTTCCTTCACTGGTAAAGGTAAATATGACATATAGAGAGGGGGAATCTCCTTAAACGGGGCACAGACAGCAATACAAACTGACAGGGATTTTAATTCCTCAGCACACTATCCAAAACTAAAAAAAAAAAAAAAAAAATAGTTTTGCCTTTAGTTATACTTTAGGTCTCTTTTACAAAGAAAAGGGTTTTAATGGCCATTGATGATGCAATCTACATGTGGTGTCCTTTAACACACCTGAGCCTTTACAACCCCTTTTAACCATTGTCAATTCTATCATTTTATGGACTAGGCGATTACTCTAATACAGTCTGCTCTCCTGTACAGTATTTAATTCTATAAAAAAAAAAGCCATGGAATAGAGTGAGCAAAATTATAAAAAGTAAAAAACAAAAAACGGATAGAAACAAAAAACAAAAAAAATAGACTTCTATGTGGACTGTAGAGCCACAAATGGAAGGCGATTAGTGTTGGGGATATCCTAGAAATTCATGTTTAGACAATTTGGTCCAGAAAAAAGGAAATCCAGCCTAAAAATAAAAACGAAGTGGGCATACCATGATATCACGTAACGCCACTGGGGTGAGATAAGGAAGTGACATCACTCTTGTTCTATAGTGTTGCAAGAGCGCAAGGACACGCCAGCATCTGACAATGACCCCTTAGCGCTCTATTACGTCACTATTCACTGTGGCGCAGGTCCCAGCTAGATGACACCGCCAAGATTCTACTCAAACTGTGCAATGAGGACCATCATGGCAACCCCAAGGAGCAGCCCAATGGTTTCCTTAATGGACTGAGAGGGGCGAGAGTCTTGGAGCAGTTCAGGGATGACGGAGACTGTTGCGATGTAGATAAATCCACCAGCAGTAAATGGCAGAATCCACAGAGTGGCCGCTTCACCGATTCCTTCCGCCAAGAGCGAGCAGGCAGTGCCTGCCAGAGCACCCAGTGCCGTGCTGAGCTGCAGCATCATCGCCTGCAACAGAGAAGAAGCTTCAATTCAATGTGTATCCACAAAACCAAAGATCAATGGATAGATTGGGTAAGGAGGGAACTTAATCCACCTTCCAGATAGAAGAACTGGGATGGAACACTGAGAACCATGCTAAATAGATGCCAAATTTAAAAAGGCAGTGAAAGAGGATCCCTGACATGTCTTTATATGTACAGGCGTTGTTGGTAAAACCTTCCAGCTGCATGTCCTTCAGTTATTCCCATAAGGTTTGCACACCTAAACCATATTACCATACAGAGTCCTAATTTGTCTTATTTGCCGTTCTTGGTTCCTCCTTTCCCCCTCATCAACATGCCAATGAAAGCTAAAATAATTAAAAACCTTTACAAACCTTTATATATACATTAGACCCAGTGATGTCATTGCTGAGTCTCAGTGCTTCTCTATGCAATATAGGTAGATCATAGCTGGTGGGAGGGGCTGGCGGGGTGCTGTACTTATCTTCCTAAAAACATTACAGCATTCTGCCTCAGTCTTCCTGTTTTCTCAGGCCTCATTCACACCTTCACATTAAAAAGGAACTTGAGATCCCGCTCATGTTTTTTTGCATGTTTATGTGCGTCACGCATAGGGCAGCCCATTCCTTCTTCAACGGGCTGCCCTGCATGCGACAGACATTCCCTTGAAGGGGGCTGCCCTGCATGCGACAGACATTCCCTTGAAGGGGCTGCCCTGCATGCGACAGACATTCCCTTGAAGGGGCTGCCCTGCATGCGACAGACATTCCCTTGAAGGGGCTGCCCTGCATGCGACAGACATTCCCTTGAAGGGGCTGCCCTGCATGCGACAGACATTCCCTTGAAGGGGCTGCCCTGCATGCGACAGACATTCCCTTGAAGGGGCTGCCCTGCATGCGACAGACATTCCCTTGAAGGGGCTGCCCTGCATGCGACAGACATTCCCTTGAAGGGGCTGCCCTGCATGTGACAGACATTCCCTTGAAGGGGCTGCCTGCATGTGACAGACATTCCCCTTGAAGGAAGGGGCTGCCCTGCATGTGACAGACATTCCCTTGAAGGGGCTGCCCTGCATGTGACAGACATTCCCTTGAAGGGGCTGCCCTGCATGTGACAGACATTCCCTTGAAGGGCTGCCCTGCATGTGACAGACTGCCTTGTGACATGTGACAACATTCCCTTTAAGGGCTGCCCTGCATGTGACAGACATTCCCTTTAACGGCTGCCCTCCATGTGACAGAACATTCCCTTCAATGGGCTGCCCTGCATGTGACAGACACTAAAGAAGCTCCAGAACCTTTTTTTTTGTTTTTTGTTTTTTTTTGAGTGTGGAGAGTGTCGCATTTTTTCACTGCATGTTTGTAGTGCCTTTGCCATGCAACAAAACATGCGCTGCTAACCACGCTTGGGGTGCCGGTAACAATTGATGGCACTGCAAGCTCGCTGTGCATTTAGCAGTGTGTTTCCGAAACGTGCGGCTAAATGTGCATTTTCTAGGCGATTTCTCCTGCGTTCTGGAAACGCCAAGTGCTCTGCACGCAGTAGGTTGGCCTTTGGGAGCAGGCTTGCAAATATAAAAATGCTCTTATGGGTGGATGTCTGTCTGGAGGAGTTGGCGTTCCTAGGCAGACCGCATTTGCATGCAAAAATACTACCCAGGTGACGCCATACATGTGAGACTGAGCCCCATGATGAAAAAAAAAAAAAAAAAAAACCCCATGCAGAAAAGGGCAGGCCAGGGACAGTAATGCTGGGGAGAAAAAAAGTAGATGATGGGGTAGATCTTGGGGGATGTTGGGGACCCCTTTTATCAAGCTGTTCACAACTAGTTGTTTATATTGCACCTCAATGTGTGTATATATACATATCATGGCCGAAATTGTTGGCAACACTTGATATTTCTCCAGGAAATCAGTATTTATGAAACGAGAAACGTAACATTAACACATGTTTGTTGCTATACACACATGTTTATTCCCTTTGTGTGTAAATATGGGACAAAACAAAAAAAAGGAGAAAGAAAGCAAATTCGACATACAATGGTCACACACAAACTCCAAAAATGGGCTGGACAAAAGTATTGGCACCCCTTCACACAACTCTCGGATAAATAGAATGTTACAAATAAAATGCTCTGTAAACTCACCTGGGGCAAGTAACAGGTACAAAAAATATAGAAATCACACCTGAAAGCAGATAAAAAGGAGAAGTTCAACTTAAACCTTTGCATTGTGTGTCTGTCTGTACACACT